ACACCTGAGGTGGCACTGCGGCTCGAAGGGCATCTGCGGAGTGAGCGGGGTGCTTCCGGCAGGCGCTGAAACCAGCCCCGAGTGCGAGAGCTCCCTCCCCTCTGGTTCCGGGGTGCGTCACCTGAGAATTTTCTTCTTGTTTTTTCTTTTTCCACTTCCTGTCCATGTCTCTGCTACTCCACTGTCCTTGTGTGCTCCACCCCTCCTTTTTGCAGTGATGTGATGTCATATGTACCTTTCAAAAAAAATATTTTTATTGATTTCAGAGAGAGGAAGGAAGAGGGAGAGAGATACAGTAACATTAATGATGAGAGAGGATCACTGATCAGCTGCCTCCTGCACGCCTCCTACCAGGGATCTAGCTTGCAACTTGGTATGTGCCTTGATTGGGAGTCGAACCGCGATCTCTTGGTTCATGGGTCAACATTCAACCACTGAGCCATGCTGGCCCGGCATCATATATACCTTTTTGTATGCAAAATATATATACGAAACTTAAAAGAGTAATAAAAAGATAAATTTTTATGAATTTACAACCCAGTTTACAAAATGGGACTTTCCTAAGCTCCTGTTTGTCCCTTTCCTATTGAAATTTTCCCCCCAGAGTGTAGCACTATCCTGAATTTTGTGCCCTTCCTTGTGTTTAATAGTTTGAATATAAATAAATACATGACTCCTTTAACACCATGTAACACCATGTTGAGGGGTATATCTGTAGTTAATTCATTTTCAATGCTGTACTGATTTCATTACATTAATATAAAATTTAATCTATTTTCTATTGATATACATTTGGGTTACATTCTTGTCTTAGATTCTTGTTATGAATAATGCTGCTCTGACATTTTTGTACATGGATGCAAGAGTTTATCTAAGATATAGATCTAGAAATAGAAAACCTGGGAAGGAAATGTAGAAATTCTGCCATATAAATAATGACATACTGTTGTCTAAAACGATTATCAATTTATAGCAGTGCATGAGAAGTACTGTTACTGTTCATCCTTTCTAACACCTTTGGCTTGCTTTTCATTCTCTTAATGGTATATTTGAATGGACTTAAATTCTACCTTTTAATGTAGTCCAATTTATCATTTTTAGCTTTTTATGGTTAGTGATTTGTGTGATCTATTTAGGAAATCCTTGTTTACCCCATGATCATAAAGATATTCTGCAGATTACCTTCTAATAGCTTTATTGTTTTATCTTTTACTAGTGGCCTGGTGCACGGATTCATGCACATTGAAAGGAAATTAATTGAAGAAATATTTAATATGTGGGACTGGGCGAGACAGGCCAGACATGCCCTGGAGCCAACCTCCCTTGGTCCCTCCCCAGCCAGCCACACCTGGAGCAGCACTGTGGCTCGAAGGGCATCTGCGGAGGGAGCAGGGTCCCTCGAGTAGGTAGGGTCCCTTGGCCTGGCTTGCGGGGATTGGGCTGAAACTGGCTCCCTGACATTCCCAGAGGAGTCCCGGATTGTGAGAGGGAGGTTCTCGGGTGACCCATCCCAGAATCGGGCTTCCTCCTCTCTGGTTCTGGGGTGTGTCACCCAAGAACCACCGCTGCCAAGTCAGTGCAGCTCGGCAGTTCCTGCATTGAGCGCCTGCCCCCTGGTGGTCATTGCACGTCATAGCTACTGGTCAGACGGTCGCTTAGCCTTTTATATATAAACTAGAGGCCCCGCGCACACAAATTTG